TAAAGCACTTTGCGTGCATGGAAAGAGTAACCAAACCCCAGTGCCAGCAGTCAGAGATCTAAGTGAGGGCAGCATGGTTCAGATCTCACCACTCCAACCCTGCAGATCCAGGGCTCTCTTTTATCACAGTCAGATCTCCTACTGTAAGTCTCTCCCAGTCAGCACATAAATCCCGTGCCTTGTGTTTCGGCTCTTTGGAATAGGGGTGACACTGGTTCAAAAGTGTCTTCTAGTTTATTTATCCTGAAGTATTTGCTCATATCTGAGCAAATGCAAGTTTTTAACCTTGGATCATGAGTATCTTGCTGATATTCATGGTTGTTATRTTACTTATTCAGCAGATGTTATGACAGAAAGAGGAAATAAATGTTTGAGTACTGCAGAGTCCAAGCTGAATGCCCTGGCAACACAACAATCAATGTGCTGCATGACTAAGGAAAAAAAGTAATGTTTTAGGGAACGAAGCATGGGATATTTTTTCACTGTATAAAAGCATTTGTGTGATTTTTTTTTTTTTTGTAAACATCCAATATACAAGGTAAGCTTCTGTTTTGAAGAGCAGAAAATTACTTTAAAGCATTTCCATTGTAAACATCTGCTTTTAAGCTGCAAGGAAGTGAAAAGCAAGATGCAAATTCATGTCTCATGGCATTACCTATACAGTACACTTATTTACAAAAAAAAGAGCATAAATATAGATATCAATGGTTTCAAGTTTACAACATAATCAACTGACACAATATACTTTTAGACTGTTAATTGATTACATACATTAATTCACACAAGTAATTTTGCTGCATAGTTTTTAATGCAATTGCTTTCTTTATTGCACCTGTTGACGTTCAGTGCATTTTCTGTTTTGTTTTTTTGTTTTTTAAATGGACCATAGGATTTCCTGGAACTTGTGTTTAATCTAGAAAGAAAAATAAGCTTTTCCTGAAACTTTTAATAGGCATATTATACAGTGGGCTTCAAACTGAAACTTTTTAATATCTAAATTACTAGTGGAGATTCAGAATACCATTACAATTTATTCCACTGCTACTAAGTGAATTTTCATCAGGAGTAATTGATTTAGACACAAAAAATGTTTCTTAATTTCCTCATTTCACTTATATAATGGCAAAATTCAGACAGTACAAAAATTAACATTGCAAAGGACTTCGTTAAGGCTCTTTTTCAGTTCATGTTTTGTCCTCCTAAATTATTTGTTCTTTATAACAGACATTGCTAGCATTCCATCAAAACACACAGCTTCACATCAACAAAAATCAGATAGCATAATTAAAAATTTCTGTTTTCTAATTGYTCCATAAAAGCCAAGGTATAAACATTAACAAGGATGTACTTTAAATTCCTCAAAAGTCTTCAGAAAAAATGACCTGCCTGCTTAATGTCAGTCCTAGGCATGTTATGTATTATATCAATATTACAATCATCTCTGAGAAAAAATTAACATTCCTTTTCATTTTTTTTTTTTTAGGCATTTTAGATTAGCTCTCCATTTAGTCACTACTCTGTGGTACAGAATATCCACGTAAGTGTGTAGTGAATTGTACAAATATTGAAAGCTAGAAGCCCTTATTTCAAGATTCCTCAAGACAGATCCTGATTTGATTTCTATAAATAGTATCTTCTGCAAGACAAGATTTGGCTTTAGATGCCAGATGTATTTTTGAATTTTTATCTTTTAGCCCTTGAGAACTTCCCTCACCTCAAAGCAGACTATTTTATACCTTACAAAAATTTTAGGAGAGCAGGTATGGAACAGTTTTTGTGAAGCCACCACCAAAATCACTATGCTTACCTTATCCCTTTGCAAAAAAAACCAATGCAATTTGCTTATAAAAATTAATTTGTTTAGTTTTACTCCTCTGATATCCACAGTGAGCCACAAGATTATGAGCAAGACCCCAGGAATGATTTAACTCCTCTGTTAGGCATTTAACCAAYGCACAGGGCTGGTAGCAGCTGCTGCAAGGAGTAAATGAACTCCAAATAACGTCACCGTCAACCTGCAGCAAAGCCCTCTGTTTATTCAYAAAAGGCAAACCAGAAAACCCATGGATTTTGAATCCATGGTCTGACACCGCAGCAGATGGCACAGCCTTTGCCCACATTAAGGATCCACACGACCACAGAAGCACCCAGCAGGCAGTGACCAAACAACAACACATTTGGGCCTCTTTTGGTACTGAAGCAATGAGGCTTTTCGAGGAGACTTGGAACCGTTCTGGGTTTCACAAAGGTCTCCTGAACTACAATAAGGTGTTCAAATCCAAAAATTTGTAAGAAAATGTCAGTCTTACTTATCAAAAAACCCAGACAACTCTTCTGTAATGGCTCAAGTACAAGAACTTTCATACAACGCACTGATCTGGGATTTGGGGTTCTGTCTRAATTATTTTTAGCAAAGAGATTATTTAATTTCACAAGAACATACTGTCAGTGGCTATTTAAACAACAAGGACAATAATTCAATGCCATTTTTTCTTTTTCCTCACCAAATCCATGGCTTCAACATGAAAAACAACTTCAATACAGAAGTAACACAATTGTGACAATGACAATTTAAGACACAGGTAGGATTAAAATACTGAGGCAAAGTCTTGAAAGACTATTCTCCTGACAAGAAAGTCTAGATAATTTTGTATTTTGAACTTGACAGAATGTCCATGGGACTCAGGTAAAGAACTGTAGGCACCTGTAGCACCGAGCAGTAAGCACCATCCCCACTGAGATTTTTACAGGTAGTTTCAGAATTGCTGTACAATGCTTGGCATTCTCARTTGTATACCATGGGGTTATTTCAGAGATCCATGAGGAAATTATCACTATCTCTAAACTGCACATGCAGGGGTTTCTAAGCTAATAATAAACATATAGATAGTGAGGGCTAGTGCAGCAGTATGACAGAAMMAAWTGTTACTTTCCTAGGAAGGCTTACRTTCCRTAAATCCATTAAAAAGTTTCCTACAGATCAGCYATGTTATAGTCATAGACCTGAACACTAATTTATGCACATATCCAGCTACCCAATTAGTAATGCCCACTTCTACTGGTACATGACAGAAAAAACCCAACAGGGCATCATGTTCTTATGTGTCTGAGCTTATCCATGATGCAATGCCAACTCTTCTGAAATCTACTGAAGGAATACATTCTGAGAACAAGGGAACAATTAATGATAGCACATTAGAGTATAGATCTAAAACCTAATGCGCCAAAACACTAATTACATTACCCACTTTACTTGGAAAGAAAAAGTTTAAATTAGTTAATATATTGTATTTCTGGCTCCACTGAAGTCAGTGAAATTAGAACAAGGATCTCTTTGTGATGTTTTCTTTCAAGCCCCAAATCTGATTGTGCAAATATAYGGATTTACTTTTAGCCACATGATAGATCATTTCCATGGGATCACCCAAATAGAATTTGCAGAATCAGGCTCTTAAATCCCTACTGATGTAGTTACAGATTTATACCCAGTAATGGGTATTAATGGATTAAAAAGAACAAATTATAACTCATTGTGCCTAGAGATTTCTTTGATTTCTATAGGAGTAAGCAAACATTAACTTCTTTATCCATGGCAATTACAATTTCCTACAGATGCTCAAATTCCCAGGGTAGTTTCATTAGGATAAATTTCTCATACTTCTGCTCTAGATATAAAAATGAATACATTGCATAAAGGTCAGTAACCAGTGAATATGTGGAAGTTTTAAATTGTATTTCTCTCTGGGAAGCAGAAGAAGGAAATAAATAGATACAATTAGAAAACACAAACGTTCCTTGCAAGACAAATTTCAGGACAAACACAACCTGGCAGAGCATTAAAATTCATTCTTAAAGCTGATAGTTCTTCATCCTAGAGTGTCTACCTGCAGCATTATAAATTTGTTATAAATCAGCTGCAGTGGCTAACTAGTCCTAATACAACAGTTTACTCATAACATTTATTTTAGGCTCTGTAATAACATACATGTTTTCATAGCCTAAAGATACATTAACTCCTGTATMTACAACTTATTTTCCCTACCACTAAAGAAAATTTACTTTTAAGGTTTACACTAAATAGGAGGTCAAATTCAGGTCACCTTACTTGTGGAATTAATCCTCTGTTTTGTGTAATTTATGTGAAAGTGAAATAAATGGTATTTGGCTGGGGTACAGAAAGCCAAGAGTGCTGTATCCAAATGAACTTCAGGGTACGAGAATGGAATTACAGAAATTACAGGCTGCGATTACTAAAAACATATTATGAACTTACCATGCTCATGTAAAGAAGATAAATGTAATTACCAAAACTATATTCAGCCCAGGTATTAACATTAGCAGCTTTCATAAACATTTCTGTGAAGATTTAATCATTACTGATCAAGACCTCAGTGCTCTGTTGGTTCCATAAAACACCTTTTCCAGCAGTAAGAGACCTCTTAAATCAAATCTCAAGGTTTGGTTTGGAGTCAGAATGCCACCTTCCAGATTGCTGATCTCTGTTCCTACCACAAATACCATTTCCCTTTTTAATGTTCAATCAAATGACCCCAAAAACTAASTCCAGCTGTCTTATGAGCCACACTAAGCTTCAATTTCACAAAGRTATTTTGAATATATTTGATTTTCAGAATATCAGTCCATTGCTTTTTCATGGTATTTATTTCATAATGACTGACCAGATTTATTTTAATGTAAAATGATAAAACCTGATAAAAATAACACCTCCACTGGTTATACATTGCCAATTCATACGTCAAAACCGGCGGTTGTTGTTATATTCACTAATTAGCATGATGTATGCTCCTGATTACACTTTTGTTAAACTTAGGTGTCAGCTTTTCCATATGTCCCTTCTGGAGGTCTGTAGTACTTTGGGAAAGCCATCAGCTGTATCATGTTGAATGCATACTTTCTGCATTTGACATTCTTCAGAACATTCTCTATGCGGCATCCTTCTCTAGTGAAAGGGGGAAAAAGTACAACTTCATGAAACACAGAATAAATAAATATGCTTTATTTGTTCATTGCAGAGTTTCAGCAACAGTTGAAGTAAAAATAACAAAGATTCAACTCTACATTTTTGTTTTCCACGAGTGATGATACATCTTACAAAATTAAATCCAAGGCCAGGCCCAGTACAGTTATTGCCCTCAGAAATAGATAAGATTTTCCATCCCCCCTAATATATCTGCCCTTGAGGTTTAAAGTTCCGTAAAAAAAAATTAAATACTTTAATGATACATTTTGTTCTAATTCCAGAAATATATTTGCCTTTTAAACCTTTTCATACCTTTTTTTTTTCAATTTGTTTACTATATATGTGCGAGTATACATTGCCCTAAAATGCGCATTCTAGGAATAAGGCATTTTATTAAGTCTGGCCCTAGAGATTTGTGAAAGAAAGTTTAATCTCTGCTTCATTTCTTGTATGTTCAGCTTTGCAATGAAAAAAAGGAGAGAATGGCTTTTCAAACAGCCCAATCCACCTCTCTGCTTTATAAAGGAAGGATGTTCATTCACATACAGTACAAAAGTCACAAGTGCCAAAGTGGTGCGTCAAGACATAAACAGGACTTTTTTAAAAAGAATATAAAAGTGTCTTGAAAGCAAAAGCAACTAAAGCAACAATTACAAACAGGTTAGTTTCATTACAAAACAGAACTTATTCTATTCCATTTAGTTACTCTACAGAAAAGGGTTAGTTGTAGCAAAGTAATAATCATTTATTAAACGAAAAAATCCCATCAGCTAATAACAAGAAAAAAAACACAATGAAAGTTAARTCTCACAAACCATCACCCTGCCGTATTTGTCTAGGGGTTAGTTTGTGTTGTGCAAATTCATTTTAATATATTTTTTGTCAGACTAATTACTCTGGAAAGGGGGGTTCAAGCATTCAGGATTCCACACCTTCTATACAGTGACAGCATTGTAAGTGGGCTTTCTTTGCGCTAATTACAGTGGGAAAGCTTTACCATGAACAGAAAGAGCAAATCAATTCACTCAATGCATAGTATACTTCTCAGAGTTCAGAAAAAAAGAATGAAAACACAGTACATTTCAGACATTGGTATCTTAAAGATGAATCCTTGGGGTCTGAGATTGTAGAAATATTACAACATAATTCCTTTTTTTCTAAAGTTAGTTTGTTGCTGTTTGTAGAAAAGAAAGGAACACAAGTGAAGTTTATTGATATTTGGCTAATAGCAAAGCAAGACTTAAAATAAGCCACACAACCAGCAAGTGTGAGCTGACAAGCAGCAAGGCGACAGGATAGAAGTGTCGAGAAGTTGGCTTGTTATCAGTTAGACAGCCTGTTTCAGGATCATCCGATTCATTCAGTGCTCCCTGGGTTTGTCTGCTGTTAAACAGGGGAAGTTAGGAACAGATAGAAGAGCATTTAAACAGCAAAGAAAGCCAACACGCAGCTATTTTGACAAAGAGAAAGTACATAGCCATTTTGAGCAAATAGATTTATCTAAGYACTTCCAATATAACTCTCGTGTTCTGCAGCTGACATGGGAAGCACGATGACTGGGTGGCTCTTATGATATTAATCCTGCTAGGTGCCTTGGAGTAGCATTCACAAGTGAACATTAAAAAATTCCASAATGAACTGTACTATCACTAAAATGAACACACACACTGAACAGAAATGAAATAAGGACGTTTAAAAAAAGATAAGGAAGCAAAGAAAAAAAGATCATGAGTATGTCACAACGCAACACTGACAAAATAATGTCTCCATGGTGTTCACAGGCTTTTCAGTCCTGCCTCATTATCTATTAGGAAGTTTTTTTGGCAGAAATAAAAAAGGCACACACTCTTTGGAAAGAATGAACAGCTATCCTAAAATAGTATTAAATGATGGTAAACTGACTTCAAAAATTAATCAATGCTGGTGATTCCGTTTCAAAAGTCAATAGCAGTTCTTTTTATTTAAAGGTTTGCACTTACATTCCTGTAAGTAAATCACCTCGTAACTTCTTCAGTCAACTCAGGGAGGAACTAATCTGCTTACAGGGAAGTTCTACTGAATCACTCTAAATTGTGTGGTCAATGTCCTACCAGGACAACAGGGAATACTTTCACTGCCAGGCTTTCCTGTWGTAGTCTTGGCAGCTTCTCTACAAGTAGAATTACTCACACTTGAACCACACTTCTTCAATCCCTCTGAAGGTATCTTGCATACACTCCTTACACATAAGTCCTGCTTATGGACTTCCTTYGGGCAGTAAGAAATGGTAAGGTTTTTATTTTTCTGTGTACTATGAATATCCTGTGATGAAAAGATRACTTGCAATTTTTCTTTGTGGTCTTGAGAATATCTAAATATATCAGACAAAAATATATCAGACAACAACACAGTGCCTTTTCAGAAGCACATGTCTCAAGTATGCTCTTCTTTTTTTCAAGAAAGAAAATGCTGGCAGACATAAAGAGGCTGTGGAACAGGGAAGGCACTATCACATAGCCTCAGGTAGGATGAGAACAGTACTCTGAAGTCAGCAGCAGTCACATCACCTTACAGAAAGCCTGTCTTTCTGACTTGTGTGTTAAAGGGCAATGTTGCATTTCTTAAGCTTGGATAGCAATAGAGGTGCAAGAACTGCATTTACAGGTGGAATCCTAGGAATCCTAAGGTTGATAAAACAGTTCCTTGCACAATTCTCCTTTTGAACAAGCCTTCCTTAAGTTCTAAATTTCATTCTTTGCTTTGAAAATTCACTCTGAGTTACACTGATAAAGAGAGCAACACATGCTATTTTAAACAGCAAAATAAAAGGTAAAGATTAAATCCCTATTATTTTCACCTAGGTCAAAGCAAGTGCTGGTGGCAGTGTGTCTACTTCTTTCAATATACAKATTTCAAGTGTCTGTTGACAGAACTTGAGTTCAAGAGAAGTCAAACTGTCCTGTAGACATTCTYTCAGAAACTGTCAAACAGTGAAGATAACTGCATGCTATCAGTGTTGACAGGCTTTGTCAACACTGARATAAGTAATTCTGTGTTTCTCTATCAGGCCACCCCAATTAATGCYCCTGTCCTAGGGTCCATTCCCAGAACTTCCTTCCTCTTCTGCTCACAGTGACAACATTACCATTTGTGATCAGCTGTGAGGACTAATTGTACTGCTCTCTGCTAATGTTCTCCATCATCATGTRTTTCTATCTGCTTTTAAGAACCTGATGCTTGCTGTTTTTCCCTTTGTTTTGTCTTCATCTCTACATCATCCTACAGGTCTGCCCCTTAGACCCTTTTGCACTGTCCCCTCAGCCCTTTCTTATTCTTCCAGGTGAGCCTGCTGGTTTCAGTGTACCCCCACTATGCCCACAGTTCAGAGCTTTAGCTCAACCCCCATAACCCATCTCTTCCTCCCCAGTCACAGAGCCCAGGTGATTTTAGTTTGTCCCCTGGGTCTGTTCCATCACAGACATCATTGTGCCCCTATGGCAGAGCGGATGCAGAGACCAGACTCTTTTTTAATGTGTAAAAATCCATCTGGGCAGCAACAAAGTTGAGCATTCAGTAAGTTTGCACAGCCACTGCATTAACCAGGTTGATTGGGTGCATCAATGTGGAGAGGCTGAGCTTTGCACATCAATGGTTTATTCCAAGCAGGCTGAGTCACAGCCTTGCAGGCTGCCCCGACAGGGAGGAACCCTCCTGTTTCTGTAGTGTGCCTTGTTCTGCTGGGCTCCACATCTCATCAACAGCATGACTCTCTTTTATCTACATTGCTCCAGGTCCCATTAGCATCAGGGAGATTTATGCAGGTGTAATGATGGAAATTCAGATAAAAGCCATTTGTTCAATTTTTTTTTTTTTCTATAGAAAATCCTACAGTACATCTGTTCTTTGATATGCTGAAAAGAGTGATCAGTGTCTTTCAACATAAAAAGTTCTATCTTTCCCCCAGGAAAAAGATTGTTAACAGCTGATGCACAGGGACTTCTGTTCCACAAATTAGTCACATCATTCTATGCATGTTCAATAAGACATCCTCGAAATAGAACAAGAGGATCCAACTCCATTATTAGCTACCTAAGAACAGGCTGAGCAGAATAGTTAAATACACTTTTAATTTAAGAGGGATATTTGATCAGGGTCAGATRCCTTGCTAGGCTCTGCCAATATTTTCCAACACACCTTAAAGTGTCCTCTGTAGTGACTGCTCAGCAAAGYAAGGCCCTACATCCAGCTGTCATCATGGCAACATTGCTTCCCCTGGCTCATCCAAACCTGGAAATGTTTTACTGCAAACAGCAGGAATCCCACTGGTGCCCTGTAACCTGGATTTATTTGGCTTCTGACTGAGCACAACCAGAACAGAGTGCTACATGTGAAACTGTGAAGATACAGCCATAGTTTCAGATGTTCTCTCCATCACAAACCATACTCTAACACCAAAGGGAAGGAAGAAGGCTCCCAAAATAACCAGCAAGTTTGTATCTCACAAACACATATGGAAATTTAAGAGGAATATTGAAAGCTTCTAAGGCTGTAGCATCTGGAGTCATGAACACCCCACTAACCTATCATACAATTTTTATTCATTTACTYTCAAATTGTTCATTTGCGACTTACAGCACAGCACAAATGTATTGTAACAGCCAAGGGTGCTCTAAGTTAATGGCAATATAACCATTTCAGCCTGCCTTCTATCTCATTTGATGTTTTATMATCTTAAACTCCTATTGGGATAATACTGCATGCTTATCAAATGAGACAAAAGCAAAACAGCAGGTATTTTCTGTGGTTTTAAAATTCAGATGATAAATTGCTGGAACCTCAAAGCAGTGAAGCAGAGACAATGAAAATGGTGTGAGGAAAAAGCCTCTCAAGTCTTTATAGAGTCAAGAAGACACGAGGGAACATTCTGGCTTTTGATTATCAGTCACACTGGCATCCCTATGCAAGGCTTTTGGCGCAGATGCACTTTCACACTTTGGGATATATGCTTCTCTTTTTAAAACTTCCAGCTCCAGCTATTAGGGACACTGGAAATGCTAAACTGTCCTCCAGCAGTTCTTAAGATACAATAGAGAGGCAGTTTTCTATCAACAGGGATCCTGGGTGCCAGTGGTGACCGCAGTTTGAATTTAAGTCCTGCTGTGCTTGTACTTCATGGGAATTTTCCTTTTTTTTTTTTTTTTCCAGACAGATTCAAGTAAGCAGTTTCTGGTCCTGCTGTGTTTTTCTTGCCAAACTGCAGTGCTGACACAGAAAAATAGCACATTATACTGGCTTTGTCAACACTGAAATAAGTAATTCTGAGTTTCTCTATCAGGCCACCCCAGTTTATGCCTCTGTCTCAGAACTTCCTTCCTCTTCTGCTCACAATGACAACATCACCATTTGTGATCAGCTGTGAGGACTAATTGTACTGCTCTCTGCTAATGTTCTCCATCATCATGTATTTCTATCATACATGAAATGTATGAAGAGAAAGAGAAATGCCTCTCTAGAATCCCATCTGACAGTGACAGAGACATTTCTTCCAATAGAAAGGATTGCTAACAGTTCTCAATCGGACACAATTTTGCTTACTTGCCTGCTCTTTTTATTTCAAGACAGTCAAATTCAGAACTTTCAAGAAGCAGTTTCTCTGAATAAAGAAGTTTTTGGAATGAAAGTATCTTAATTTCTACTATACTATAATGCCTAATTATTAAGTATCTTAATTTCTACTAATCTATAATGCCTAATTTCTTTAGGCATTATACATGTTGCTGAGATTGACTGAAACACTTGAGAGAAAAGAAAAGGTGGGATCCTTGTGAACATCTCCCAGCCCTTATGAAGCTGCTGCACTATAATATCTAGAAGAATAAAACACAATTCAGAAGGAAATAAACAGATCTCAGCATAGACATGAAGGATTTCTGTATCAGGGCAGAACTCAGATAAAACATATAAAGGAATATTGGGCAACAAATTTTATGTTGGAAGATAAAGTTGATACAACCCTTAACAAATTTTAAAAATAAAAAATGGTTCTGCATTGGAAGATATAGGAAGGGAATGAGCAGAGACATTTTCTGTATCAATGATCTTTACARCTATTCTTTTTCTGATGCACACTGTTGTCAATAACTTGCCATTTTTTTTAAATATTCATAGCAATAACTAGAAAATGCTAGAAATAAATTTTCACYGCTTATGTGATCCTATAACTTCAGTTCAAAAGAAGCAACATTGCAGAAACTGATGAGGAGTCTCTGATCTAAGAATACTGAGGAATTCAGTCAGTGATTTAGAGACAGCTGCGATTTAGACATACACCAAAAAAACAGACAATCTAATCTGTTCATCAGATTGGAACACTAAAAACCCCTGCTCCTGTTTCACCTTTTGTG